CCCACAGCTTACGCCCGCACGCACGCAGCTCCTGCCCCGCCCACACGCCAGCCGCAGCTCCCGCACGCACACACGCACAATGGAAGCGACATCCACCGGGACCGGCAACAGCACGTCGCCTTGCGGGACCACGTCCACTCCTCCCCCAGCCAGGTAAGACATCCCCCGAAAATAAGACCTAGTGTCTTATTTCGTGCAAAAAAAAAAATAAGACACTGTCTTATTTTCGGGGAAACACGGTAGACTACAGAAGAAAATACGAGAGCCCTGTGCATTGGCATGGCTATTTGAACTCCAAATCAGAAGCGCACAGGAAAGTGTGACAATGCTGCAGCTGAACTGAATAAATGTTTGTTACCCTTGGCCAGAAAGTGTCTGTGGATACACCTTGCTGGTATGGTTAAATTGAAAGTAAAGGTGCCCATACACTGCTCGATTCTCGTACGAGACAAAAGTCTTGCGATGGTCATAAGGTTTATGGGCACCTCAAGACATTTAAAATAAAGGATTAAACTTTCTGACATTACAAGTGCATGTGCAAGAATTGTATTACATATTTGGATTTATATACACTTTTACATTTGCTGTTGCATTTAAAAAGTTACTCAAATACTTTCCAGCTTTGTTACAATATTGACTACCACTGACTACCTTAGGCCCCTTGCAGATGGGTCAGTTTTTCAAGTGGATCTGATTGGAAGCCCAATGTTAGTTTATGGGCAGTCGGATCTGAATGGCGGTGCGTCCAATTACCCATGACTGTCCAGGTCCAGAGAAGAGTTCTGTTTTGGAGACCTGATCGTGATGGATAGAGGGTAGTCTGATGTTAACAGATACATGCCTGCTTACATGCTGATTAAATCACTTGCATGCTCCTTGATGTTTAAGAGTTTCAGCTTTCTGCAGAATCAGATGGTGCCCTGACATCCTATTTTAGAGTGGCTCCTTTCCCTTGCAGGGTCTTGTGTGTATCCACAAACAACTAGGCACATCAAGGAAAGCCGTTCCCCTGCTCTCCACACTTCTCTTCTCCCTCCTACCTTCTCCAAACCAGTAGATGGACGGTTGCTGGAGACTGCTCCATCCCTTGTGATCTTATACTTGAGAGGAAGTTCAGGGAAATGGAGCTGAGAGAGTTAGAGCCAGCTGCTTGGTCGACATGATTACTGTGTGTGTTTGGGCAAGCATTTAAAAGAAATACTTTGCTGGGCAATGTATGTTATTGTTTAAAAATAAACAATAAGGTGATCAGCGCCAGTAAGTGTAAATGTGAAAATAAGACCTACCAAGCACTAAGGATATAACTAAATATCTGGAAAATGTGAAAAACAATATTGTGCCGAGCTAATAATCATACACATCTAATAAATTGAAACGTATATAAATGAGTTGCATATATGAGCCTTCAAACAAATGAGGCATAGATAATATCTACACACAGACAAAAAAAGCAATATAGACAAAAAGAGTCCCAGGAAAAAACAAAAGCAAACAATGGTGATTGTGCAAAAAAAATTCCTCAGATGATTCACAGCCAATCTGCATGTAACTCTCGGGTAAGGATAATCACACAATACAGGTAGACCTTCACCTCCACCCAGTGAGTGATGACAACAAGTGAGTGCTCACCTGGGGAGGTAGACCCACAGAGCTAGGTCAAATGCGCCTTTTCCCTTCTTAATGGGGGAGGGAAGCCCATGCACAGAAAAGGCGATAAGGTCTCCTCAGATCACAGGTACCAGTATAAATCCAGGTGGAAAGAGAAAACGGACAAGGACATAATACTACTTGAAATGTATCATTTCTTACAGTATTTTGTCACTATCTGTGATAATGTTGAATGCTTGGAAACCTAATTAAGCATACAATATTATAAACAGATAAAATGTGACATCCTCACTTTGTTGTCTTCATGGCAACCAGTTTTCTTTAAAATGTGCTTCTATTCCAGTGGGAGAAGAATAAAACACATTTGTTTTGTATTTAACATGATTGTGTTTGATGGATTACACTGTTAAATGATATGGGTGAATGTTTTTTGATTTCTTATGACATGTCTTAAAATGAACTTTTCATATGAGAAATAGAAACAAAATGAATCACTGGTACATTGTCTAATAGCATATTTTCTGGCAGTTGCTTTTATATTACAAAGGATTTATCAGCAGTTGTCTTAATGAACAGACTCGCAGACAATGATATCGGCTGTCATAATCCAGCAGTTCATTAACTCTAGTGCAGAGAGTTCAGGCTAAAAAGTCACAGCACTGTGGCACTCCTCACACCATTAATATAATAAAAAAGATGACTGGCTAGCGGACTATGCATAAATCAATTAGACCATGGTTTGAGTTGTGCTGTAGGTCCACACCACCATGTTTAGATTAGGTCTGGCAGGGCAAGGGAAAGGGAGCCTAAGTACATAAGCACCATTTGTTTTATCTTAATGTCTTTATTATCCTTCTAGGACAGGTCCAGGTACCATTTAACTGTAATGTGGATTGCCCCAGCCTTTTAACTATTTTTCTTATATGGGAGCTTCTACTACTTAATCAGTAAGTCTTTCATATATGTAATGCGCATGCAAGACACATTAAAATGGTAAAAGTTAAGGTCTATTCATTCCATTTCCTGTTCAAAGAAGAAGTCTCACCTTGTATTATTTTTCAAAGCTCATTCACCTAACTTTCACAGTATGTGTTGCTTTTTATCCCATGCTTCTGTGTGCAGTAGAAACGGAGATGCAGACTTTGACAGTTCACTCCTCTTCATTCCCCACCACTTTCTGCTAAGGAGATGGACTCTTGATTGACCGCTCTTATCTCACTGTCTCTGCACTTTCCCAACAAAAAACATGGCTCCCTTTCCAGTTCTAGTCCCTGTGCTGACTCCTATGGGAGCATGGTCCATCCCTCTGCATCCCTCTGAACTCGCTTGTGTCTGGAAAGTGCATAGACAGTGAGTTAGGATCTGTTACTCAAGCGTCGTCTCCTTCGCAGAGAGTGGTGGGGAATGAAGAGTGACCTGTCAAAGTCTGTATCTCTGATTATACTGCACACAGAAACATGGGATAAAAGGCAGCATATACTGTGGAGGTTAGGTGAATAAGCTTTGAAAAATACCACAATGTTAGACTTGAGCAGCAGTTACAAATCAAGTGATATCATCTCTCCTTTTTCTTTTATCTTGTGGTTGAGATATGAAATGTATACTGACCTTCTCTTCTGATATAAACATGTGTTAAGGTGTTTGGTCTTCACTGTGATCTCTGGGAATTGACATAGTATTAGATGAACACTCTTCTACGCAATTAATTCCATCCACTGTTCCATCTTCATTGTTCACCTGTCTAATATACAGATGTTGATACTCAAATCTCTGTTGAGCACAATCAACTAAGGAATCATCCCTGCCCCTATCAATTTTACTTTAATTCTTCATTTGAAGACCTCAATTAAGTTTTTCTACAAATTTACAACTCTTTTGTATTCCTTTCAGCATACATAGGATGTTGTTTGAATGGAGCCAACTGTACACTTTTTGAAAAGTAAAATAAATTGTTCTTTGTAAAGTAAACTTTTCTTAAGATAGAGCTTTATTAGGAGGAGATTAAGAGTAATATAAGGCTTATATTGCTATCTGCTTGTGGAGATGCAAGTTACCTGGTTGGCATACTGGCCTTCTGCCTTCAATACTCTCGGAGTCACTAACCTGGAACAATGGAGATTAGGAAAGACAAAAGTCCTTATTTGCATAAATTCTGTGAGTAATTGACCCAAACGAGGGTCGGCATGATAGCCAGGCAACTAACATTGAGCATGAGAACTCAGCAATGGTAGACTCCTTGTAATATTCTTTGATATGAGCAATTACATTTTGGTAAGATTTGCACACTGTTCAGTCCAATGTTTTTCAATACAGATGTACACTAGCTGTAATGTGTTGTGTAAATTGACTGAAATCTCCTTCCAGTTGCTGGGGTAGCTCATTAGAGCATTTCTCATTTTGAAGACTAGTGCAATTGTTCCAAACGTGCTCTTTTCCAGTTCTATGCAAACTCCCCCAGAAGATCCCTTTACTATGGGCGACAAAAAAAAGCTAAAATGTCAAGTCTCTATTAATGCCTACAAGGAAATATCATGACGCACACATTTTTTTTAACTAGCCTTTGTTAGTTTCCATCCACTTAGGGAAAACCTCAGAGACTGAGCACTTTGGGCTATATCAGCAGTTGTAGATCATTGGAACTAAATGAAAATAGGTAGTGAAAGCAATCTCTTGAAATCCGCCGTACAAAAACCGACGTAGGTAAAATCCTAGATTTTTTTTAAAATTAATCCAAAATCAAATCCAAAGTTCAATGTGTACACCACCATAGATCTCTTCCACACCAATGCCTCTCATGTGTTTCACCACAGGGGCTTAAAAGAGAACTATGGGGGTAACCTTTTTATCCCGTAGTTCTCTTGAGGACATATACTAACCTCCTCCCGCTCAGTATATAGCAAGTTATAGCTTGCAATATACTGAGAGCGCCGCAGCTGGGACGGATCCCGACAGTACTGTCGAGAGCCACCCAGCTGGCTGATGGACAGCTGGCTCTGCCTATCTAGAGACAGAGCCAGCTGTGCCTGTCCCTCCCCCGTCCGTTCCTCCAGTCAGTGCTGGAGGATCAGAGAGGGGGGGAATTCTTGCGGGGAACGGTGACTGACAGGGAGAAGATCGGGAAGTGAGCGAGCGACAGTATGTGTTCGCTCACTTCCCGATCAATAGAGCCGAGGTATGACAGTTTCATTGTCAAACGTGGGCTCTAACTATGAGTTCTCCTTTAATCATAGAGGTAAAGCCCTTTCTCTTACATGCACATTATATGTACCGCCCTGTTCCACCGGTATAATAACAATTGTAATGATTACGAATACTTTAAGCAATCAACAATTGTAAATCTCTCTAATAAAACTAGTATACCATATAATCAAAAAAACATTTTTTATATAAACCTAGGGGAAACTACAAATTGCATCTTTCCCCAGCCGAAATATCATCGAAGTTAAAGCAGAGCTGTAAATACAAAAGCTAAGAGAGAGCCACAAGAATGAGTCATAAAGACACTTGCTGGAAATGCTCACATGCTCTCTCGGCACAAACGTTCACAGATAAATAAATAAAACAAATAAGGACAAAGTATTATTATATAGAAGAATTATAACATTAAGACATACATGAAAAACTTCAAAAGCGAGTACCATAAGGTAAATCCTAAGAGTGTTGTGCAAGCGGGTCTACATGCCACCTGATTATTGTACATCACCTAACACAAAAACAATAAATAATGGAATATCTCTAATTATATGGCAGAAAAACCTGTCTGCACTAGTTATGTTATGATACCAAGTACCGTACTCGAGTACAAGTACAGATACTTTTCCAGCTTTTAGACTAGAGAAAAATTCAAAAGTTGGGAAGCAGCTGTCATTTTAAGGAGCATATGGAGCTCCTGGGTTTTGTGCATCCCTGTTTTAATGTATGATTTGTTTTATATAAATATATATTAGGGATGCACCGATACCACTTTTCCAAGTACAAGTACTGATACTTGTCCAAGTCCTCCAAGATACAAGTACTGATACAGTTTTGTATAGTGACATGTGACAGGTTTTCTAAAACAACACAGACTAATGATTTCAGGACAGTGGTGGACCGCCAGAGCCAGGCACCAGCTGCAACCCTGGTAGTTCTCTTAAAAATGCCAAGTATCGGCACTGGTATCTGAACATCTCTAGTCTGCACACCCATTCACACATATTTACTCATTTCATGATATCTTACATTAAAAACACACATTTTATTATTAATAATTCTAAAAGAAATAAAGCTTTAGTCTTATGATTAAGCCCAGGTGGTGAAACGCATGAGAGATGGTGGTGTTCATATTGCACATTGAACTTTGGATTTGATTTTGGATTCATTTCCATAAATTTTGGATTTTACCTACGTCTGTTTTTGTGCCGCTGATTTCCAGAGATTGATCTGAGAAGCGAGAGCACACTACAGCTTGCATCCGGTGTATGTATTTACTGCAGCCAGAGATGGAATCGGAGTGCTGAGTTAGAGCTTTTGGCAAATTAGGTAGAGAAAACAGTTTGATAATATCAATTGCTTTTAGCAAAAAATTTTTTTGTTAATTTTATTCTCTCAATGCTTGTTCTTACAGTACCCAATGCTGAAAACCTAAAGAAGATGACTATAAAGAAATTCAACAAATGTGATGAGGACACCAATATCTACACAGAGTTTTTCCGACCTTATGAACTGAGCTGTTTTGATGACACTTTTTGCTTGTCTATGGCCAATTCAGCAAGGTATAGTTAAGCCACTGTAATAAGGTTTAATTTAGCACACAAAAATGGAAAGTATTGCATGGTTGTATTAATCTATGGACTTTAATGTGTGTTTTCATGCTTTCATTTTACCAGAGATTTTATGCCAAAAAACGTTGGCATTGATCCTAGCCCGTTTACTGTACGGAAACCAGATGAAACAGGAAAATCAGTCCTAAGGTAAGACTCAGAAATTCATATTCATATTGTTTAAAAAATTGTATTGGTATTGTCTGATACAAAAAAAAAGAAGCTGCTTTGATCCTCAGATCAAGAGAGCGCCGCAGCTGGGACGGATCCCGACAGTACTGTCGAGAGCCACCCAGCTGGCTGATGGACAGCTGGCTCTGCCTATCTAGAGACAGAGCCAGCTGTGCCTGTCCCTCCCCCGTCCGTTCCTCCAGTCAGTGCTGGAGGATCAGAGAGGGGGGGAATTCTTGCGGGGAACGGTGACTGACAGGGAGAAGATCGGGAAGTGAGCGAGCGACAGTATGTGTTCGCTCACTTCCCGATCAATAGAGCCGAGGTATGACAGTTTCATTGTCAAACGTGGGCTCTAACTATGAGTTCTCCTTTAATCATAGAGGTAAAGCCCTTTCTCTTACATGCACATTATATGTACCGCCCTGTTCCACCGGTATAATAACAATTGTAATGATTACGAATACTTTAAGCAATCAACAATTGTAAATCTCTCTAATAAAACTAGTATACCATATAATCAAAAAAACATTTTTTATATAAACCTAGGGGAAACTACAAATTGCATCTTTCCCCAGCCGAAATATCATCGAAGTTAAAGCAGAGCTGTAAATACAAAAGCTAAGAGAGAGCCACAAGAATGAGTCATAAAGACACTTGCTGGAAATGCTCACATGCTCTCTCGGCACAAACGTTCACAGATAAATAAATAAAACAAATAAGGACAAAGTATTATTATATAGAAGAATTATAACATTAAGACATACATGAAAAACTTCAAAAGCGAGTACCATAAGGTAAATCCTAAGAGTGTTGTGCAAGCGGGTCTACATGCCACCTGATTATTGTACATCACCTAACACAAAAACAATAAATAATGGAATATCTCTAATTATATGGCAGAAAAACCTGTCTGCACTAGTTATGTTATGATACCAAGTACCGTACTCGAGTACAAGTACAGATACTTTTCCAGCTTTTAGACTAGAGAAAAATTCAAAAGTTGGGAAGCAGCTGTCATTTTAAGGAGCATATGGAGCTCCTGGGTTTTGTGCATCCCTGTTTTAATGTATGATTTGTTTTATATAAATATATATTAGGGATGCACCGATACCACTTTTCCAAGTACAAGTACTGATACTTGTCCAAGTCCTCCAAGATACAAGTACTGATACAGTTTTGTATAGTGACATGTGACAGGTTTTCTAAAACAACACAGACTAATGATTTCAGGACAGTGGTGGACCGCCAGAGCCAGGCACCAGCTGCAACCCTGGTAGTTCTCTTAAAAATGCCAAGTATCGGCACTGGTATCTGAACATCTCTAGTCTGCACACCCATTCACACATATTTACTCATTTCATGATATCTTACATTAAAAACACACATTTTATTATTAATAATTCTAAAAGAAATAAAGCTTTAGTCTTATGATTAAGCCCAGGTGGTGAAACGCATGAGAGATGGTGGTGTTCATATTGCACATTGAACTTTGGATTTGATTTTGGATTCATTTCCATAAATTTTGGATTTTACCTACGTCTGTTTTTGTGCCGCTGATTTCCAGAGATTGATCTGAGAAGCGAGAGCACACTACAGCTTGCATCCGGTGTATGTATTTACTGCAGCCAGAGATGGAATCGGAGTGCTGAGTTAGAGCTTTTGGCAAATTAGGTAGAGAAAACAGTTTGATAATATCAATTGCTTTTAGCAAAAAATTTTTTTGTTAATTTTATTCTCTCAATGCTTGTTCTTACAGTACCCAATGCTGAAAACCTAAAGAAGATGACTATAAAGAAATTCAACAAATGTGATGAGGACACCAATATCTACACAGAGTTTTTCCGACCTTATGAACTGAGCTGTTTTGATGACACTTTTTGCTTGTCTATGGCCAATTCAGCAAGGTATAGTTAAGCCACTGTAATAAGGTTTAATTTAGCACACAAAAATGGAAAGTATTGCATGGTTGTATTAATCTATGGACTTTAATGTGTGTTTTCATGCTTTCATTTTACCAGAGATTTTATGCCAAAAAACGTTGGCATTGATCCTAGCCCGTTTACTGTACGGAAACCAGATGAAACAGGAAAATCAGTCCTAAGGTAAGACTCAGAAATTCATATTCATATTGTTTAAAAAATTGTATTGGTATTGTCTGATACAAAAAAAAAGAAGCTGCTTTGATCCTCAGATCACAATTATAGGATGAAAATATCTGCCAGTCTGATGGTCATTTAACTTTAAAAACATTTTGAAGAAGTGTGGCCATTGGACATAGTTTGTTCATATTTTGTTCATAGTTTGAGTGCCACTTGAGGTGTAAAGTAGATTAATAAAATTGTAATAATAATAAAACCTGATCTAACCTGGTTTAAACCAACGAACACTGGGACTTTGAGAAGCAGGAACAAAGTGGTATTGGCAGGTAAGTATAGTCTCTGTCATTGATACAATGTTTCCTCAGTATCAGTCATTAAATTTAATTCAATTCTCTACTATTGTGTGCTGTGAAGTTAAATAGGAATCAATTTTTTTTTTTTTTTTTAAATAATGAAGCTTACACTGTGATCATATCAAAGGACTAGCCTTTAATTTGCACATAGGAGCTACATCAAAGTACAGCGAACAGTGTTCTTACATTTTATTTCTGAATGGAAAATGCAACGGCTGTTCAGTCACACTGGAGCTGCTGTGATTGCTCTTGCAACACAACTTGATTGACAAACTAAAGCTGGCCATACATGACTCAAATTTTACTGCTCGAAGCAGCAAGACTTGGCCTAGATTCGAGCCATGGGTGGTCCCGTTGGCACCACCCCGCTCAAAAAATGTTAGAAAAGCCAGTCCGAAAATGGGCTGCATCTGCTGAAAACACAATGAGGGGAATTCATCAAAACTGGAGCAGGCAAAATATGGATCAGTTGCCCAGGGCAACCAATCCGCTTCTCTCTTCAGTTTGTTCAGTTGAGATTTGAATATGAAAGAGAGAAGCTTATTGGTTGCCATGCACAGCTGTTCCTGATTTTGTCTGCTCCAGTTTTGATAAATTCCCCTCAATGTCTGTTTTAGGTGGACATAGCATGTAGGTTACTTATTTGTTCATGTTTTGTTTGCTGTTGCGTGCACTTTGTGTACTGTATATGTTCACCTTTTTGCCATTATGCATTATTGATAGATTTGTGTTTTCCATGTGCTTTTGAAATCAATAAAAATTATAAAGCAGTGGCTTGCATCTCCTAGGGTTTCTGTTATAAAGCTTCCGCCCAGATGCCATTCGCACGGGAATAGTGCCCCTAGGGGGTGCTGACATGTATAGGAGTTCTAGGGGAGCTAGTGCCTTGTGAACAACATCCGCCTGGTGTATAGCTTATAACTTTTATAAATGAACCCCCTAGTGTCTAACACTTAGGGCATGTTTCACACTGTCTGCGGATGCCCAGTTCACACCAGGTTCCGGAAAGAGAGTAGAGATAAAGCTGGGCTGGATGAGGCCTGAGTTCGCCTGAGCCCACTCAAAACTCTGACCACCGCCCCCTTCTCCCAACCAAATCTGTGGCGGAAGTTGTGGTGGGGCATTTCCCACCCCTTTGTGATGTATAGATGCAGAATGAGGAATATGCCTCCTCACAACCGATTGGGTTGGCAGGATGGGGTGGCGGCAGTGGTGTCACAAAGGGGTGCGGCCCGCACCCGGGTGACACCATTGGAGGGGTGACACCAAAATGATTTACAGTCATTTTGGTGTCACCCCCCTCTGAAAAGTCGGCCGCTCAGTCATGGACCGAATGCCCGACAGTATCAGGAGAGAGGAGGGGACCCGGCGGCATACCTTATCCAGCCGGGTGACTGTCTCCTCCTCTCTCTGCCGGTGTCCATCACCAAGATGGTCGCCGGCAGATATCAGAAAACTGCCGCATGTGCGCGATGGCGTCTCGGCAGGGTGACACTCGGTTACCGCTCCGGGTGTCACCCAGCCCCGGGACGCCCCGGGGTGGCGGTCAGTGTTTTGAGCTGGCTTGGGCGAACTCAGGTTAACTGGGTTTACACCAAACTCAGGTTCATCATAAGTGCCGAGTAGAGAGGCTTGGAAAAATACAGCATGTCTGCATTTTTCTGCACTGCACTGCAAGTCTCCATCCGCCTGTTTCAGTGTCACTTTGTAACATTTGAATAACGTTACAAAAATCTGAAAATAATAAAAAACAGACACCAGCCCACATGCTAAAATGGACCATTTCAGCATGTAGGCTAGTGTGACAAAGCTACAAAGTTATTCGCTTGAATATTTCTGTGTACCATAAAAACAAAAATAACAGTTTGCCGCAACGTGTTGATCAGCACAGTGGTCCCCTGGCCTCGGACCGTTACCGGTCCGTGGATCAAATGATACCGGGCCACGGGGCCCCGCACTGCCAACGGGCTTCACAGTGAGGGGGCGGGTCCTGTGACTCACCTCCCCTCCCGGCCGCGTCCATAGTAACAGGCGGCGGGAGGGGAGGTGAGTCACAGGAGACGTGTGTGTCACAAGCCCCGCCCCCTGCAGTGAGTGCACACAACTCCCTGGCTGGGTAAGTCCGAGCGCGGGAGGGGGGAGAGGAGGCAGCAGCAGCTGGGTACAGATATGTCGGTCGGTATCTGGATGGGGGAGTTTGTAGAGGGGTGAGAAATATCTGGATAGGGGGGTTATAGAGGGGTAATAGATACGTGGTTGGGAGGGGGGGGGTTTGTAGAGGAGTAATAGATATCTGGATGGGGGGGGTTGTAGAGGGATAAGGCCTCATTCACACACGAATCGGCCTGCACGTACAGCTCCGTGCTGCGTGCGGGGCCGTACCAAGTAGCTGCCGGGAAGGACAGGTGCTGCGTGTGATTAGAACGCAGCCCCCGTCCTTCTCTATGGGGCTACGCGGCCGTACGCCCCCCTACGCTCACCTCATTTGCAGGTCCGTAGGGGTGCGGGTGATCGTATCCATACG